GTAAAATTAGGATATGTTAGACAGATTATTTTAAAGGTTCTCTTTTGGGTTCTAATAGGCTATCGATCATCAATACCAAAAGCTTTTAAGCTCTGAGCTCACTCTCAGGAGATCTTTCCCTTCTCCAGGGGATCTTCCCAACCCAGGGATCGAACCCAGATCTCCCACATTGCAGGCAGGTTTTTTACTGTCTGAGCCACCACGGAAGCCCATACGTGTATATACATATGTATATAATGTATATTTTATACATAATATATTAGTATATATTATATATGATATATATTACACACACACACATATATACATAAAATCTTTATAGAGAAGATTTCGTCCCCATAAAGTTAATGGTTTTCAACTTAGGCTGCATATTAAAATCACCCAGTGAGCTTTACAAAAAATTCCCAGTTCCCAGGCTACACCCCACACCAATTAAATCAAAGTCTTTTGAGGAAGGCCCCATGTATCAGCAGTTTTCCACCTGGCAGTAACAATGTGCAGTCAAAGCTGAGAACTCCTGCTTTGGGCACAATGAAATAAAGATATGTTGTTTCACTATGAACTCAAGAATTGTATCTGCTTGATACCTTCTATGACTTTAGTACCTAACAAAGTGTCTGGCATATATAAAGTAGGTGCTAAGGAAATTATTAACATATTAAGTGAACTTTGGCCAATCCCTCATAAAAGAGGATTTTTCAAATCTGGTGTCTACACTGATCATTTTCACTTTGATCTTCTTCACTGAATAAGAGCTCAATTCTCTACTTTTGTTTGCCAGTGCAAACAAGGCAAGTAAAATAATAAGCAACCTATTGCAGTTAGCACAATTCAACTATCTTGGGGTGGATGCAAGGAAATCATCCATCTCCATATCCTTTAGAGGAGAGGCTTTTGGGGGAGCTAAGGATATGTCTCCTACATGACTCAGGTGAAAATAAGGGAGCTAAGGGGGAGCTAAGGATATGTCTCCTACATGACTCCACACATTCAGGTGAAAATAAATAAAACATCTGAGTATCCAGATGTCATTCACTCATTCAGCAGATGTTTATGAAGTACTTACATCATGCCAAACACTGTGATAAACCACTGTAGGCTTTCTCAATGAGGATTTTTTGCCAGAATTAAACCTTAATACCCTGGGCACCTTTACATGTAATGAATCAATTTCCTTCCTATACATATAGTCTAATTTTAGTTATATATCATTGTTGAGACAATTGGAAAAAATATAGTCACTGAAATAATTGTTTTGCTCTGTGGGTTCGGATGACAAACTCGAGATAAAAAAGGCTGCATGTTTAGGAGATAAAATGACAAACAGAATACAGTACCTGTCTTTTAGAACAGTATTCTCCAATAGAAGCTTCCCAGGTAGTGCAGTGGTAAAGAACCCACCTGCCAATGCAGGAGACGCAAAAGACTGGGGTTCAATTCTTGGGTTGGGAAGATCCCTTGCAGTAGGAAACAGCAACCCACTCCAGTATTTCTTGCCTGGAAAGCCCCAGGGGCAAAGAAGCCTGGTGGGCTATGGTCCATGGGGTCGCAGAGCTGGACATGTCTGACCATGCACGACCCCTGTCCAATACATCTTTCTCAAGGATGGAATTGTGCTGCATCTGTGCCGTTCAACACGGTGGCCACTAGACACAGGTGGATCCTGCGCACTTGAGATTTAGCCAGTGCACCTGAGAAACTGAATTTTAAATTTTACTTAATATTAATTTAAATTAATGTAGCTATATATAGCAAGTGGTTAACTTACAGGACAAGGCAGCTCTAGAATATCATATCCAAATTGAAGAGACTGTTACATAAGTTCTCATAACCTGGGTGATAAGCACTAATACATGGTAAGAACAGAATGCTATGAAAGCACCTAGGTGAATAAGCTAGTCTTAGGGTCGAGATGAAGACTTCTAAGAGGAAGTGATTTCTAGGATGAGACCTGAAGGACAAGAGATGGAGTCTGAAAGGGGTGATGGAGTACCAAGCAGAAGGTGTAGGTGTGTGAGAAAGCCCAGAAGAGAAAGAGGACATTAAGAAATGGCAAAGATGTATGGCAAGGACCTACAAAAGCAGTGGGACTTGGTGAGTCCAGAGAAGAATGTTGGGGCCAGGAACCAGACTAGGAAGGGCTTAGATGTAATGATAGTTAAAGGGCAATGGGAAGCCAGTGAAAAGTTTGTAACTGTGGAATGATATGATCATATCTGTGGTTTAGATGGATTTCCCTGGGTGCTACTTGGCAGTGTGAAAGGGAGAAACTGGAGGCATGAGATAGTGGTCCAGGTGATACTACGGTTGTCTTAAACAGTTGGAGGATGGAGACACATTTAAAAACGGAAAGACAGAAAAACCAGAGATTCATCTGATTGATCATGACAGGTGGGAAGAGAAAAGCCAAGGATCACACTTTGGTTTCTGACTTATGAGTAGATGACTGTGCTGTTTATTAAAAGCAATGTGGGATCACTGAGAAATTGCTTCTAAATTGAAAATTTCCCATCATATCAGATTATTTGCTCCTCATAGATCCTGAAAGTAGCTTTGATATACACTAGTGAAAACACCCAAATTGTGAGCATACTCTTCCAAGAAATCAACACAAGTTCACAGTTGATGCAACATTGGTTTTATTGGGGGTTCAGGGGACATATGACAAAGTCTCATAAAATGTCAACAGAGTCACATTTTGTGCTTGGCTATGCTTAAAAAAGAAAACAACCTGTTTATTTATGAACTCACTTAATGATCACTGTGTGAGATATGGCCAATGACCATCATTTTGAAAATAGGTCGACCTGAGCCACCAGGAGGTCTAAGTGTGACAAAGCCGGATAGCTAAATGGAAATTTACAACAGTCAAACATTCAGGTCCTTCCAAATGTCTAGATGCTTGCTCTCAAGTAGACACAGTTCAACTGACTCCTTCAAGACAAACTTGTGTTTTGAACCTCTGTATTCTCCAGTAGACCACTTTATTAATTATTACTAAGTGCCAACTAAAGGCAAAGGGGCTAGTATAGAAGACTAAGATTTCCTTAATTCTAGTTTTTTACGGCTGAAGTATTCTTGGGTTAGTTATATGGATAACTGACAATTAAAATAGCAAATAACCACTGATATTTTAAAAAACCATAAAGACTATCAAAACAGACACATTTAAACATTCTGCAGAAACTCTTATGAATATATACTGTGCATAAGCTTGGATAAGAAAATGCTCATTAGAAGATCTGACTGGTTTAGGTGAAGGAAGAACGCCAAGTAACTTAAGAACATCATTGAAGACATTGCACGCATAACTCGGGCTACTGTGTGTTCTTTGCGGCTGGACCATTGACAGCTTTTGAAACTAAAGATGTCAGTCCATAACTATCTTTCACATTGAAGTCAAAAGCCAAAGACGTAGCCAAAAGTGAAGCAATCTACTTGGTATGGTGCTCCTTGATGACCCAGACAGAATGTTTCCATTGGTGAAATTCAAGCTCATGCCTCATTTAGGCAGGGTGGTATAGTTCAAGAGCCTCTGAGGGCATGATTTCTGGATCCAGTTCTGTTATACTCAAATGTGCGATCTTCTGTAAGTAGCTCTATCTTTACAGGTTTATCACATCTGTAGGAAAGAACATTGCAATAGATGACCTTTAAGCTCTCTCCACCCCCTATTTTGTTCTCAAGAAGTTGAGATTTCATGCTGACCAAAGCTAACAGTCTCCTCAGAGTCTGGTCCAAAAAAAGCTTAAAATGCTGATAAACTCTGTTTCCCAGTATCTTCCATTTCTGTCATGAAAATACATTCCACCATGCTAGTTCAACCAGAAAACTGAAAATTTTGAGAAGATGATTAAAGAAAATAGCTATGTGTCTACCATAGAAAAATATCAAGGAATACAGAAGTGGCAAAATTACAAACTTGGTTGCAATACTGTGACTTAGTGCCTTAGATCGTGAGCTTTGAAATCACAGTCCTGATTGTGAACCCTGTATGTGGCCGTTTGCCAAGTTACTTAAGCCTCAGCTTTCTTTATGTAAAATGGAAATACAAAATAATACCTATTTTGCAGGGTTGTTGTAATGCTTAAAAGAGTTACCATATAACATGCTTAACATGTAGGGAGAACTCAATAAATATACACTGTTATTAGGCTAACAGAAAAATCACAAATCATCATACTATCATCAATCACACTCACTTATTTTAATGGAAGAAATATGATTATAATTCTGGTCTACACCTGAGGTGGGCAAGGGGAAGTATGTGTGCAAAATCTTCACCATATATGTACATATAGATTGGCAATGGAAGTCTGGAATTTAATCAACTGGATCTGTGTATTCATAATTTCCTGAAATCACCAGGTAGATGCCTTCCTCTCTGACTTTGCTCACAATATTGCATCCACAGAAAGGATTCTATTTTCTTTTTCCTTCCCATTTATCTAAATCCTTAACATCCTTTAAAATTCACCTTGTATTTTCTCCCTTTGGGAACTTTCTTTCCTAGACAGACGAGTTTGCCCCGCCTAAGGGGACTTCCTCCGAGCTCCTTGTTTATATCTTTCATTTTGCTCTTATAAATTGACTTGATCTGTTACTTCTCTTTTCAAAAGTTTATGTGCCTCTGTTTAACTAGGTTTAAACTCCTTAGAGGCAGAGAGTATGTCTCACAGAACCAAGTTTGCCTGATACTGTATTTCGATGACACATTCTGAGTTCCCACCATCATTTTATCCTTTGTATTGCCTCCTACAACTCTGTGATTGCAAAAGAACTCAATATTCTTTAAGTCAGTCTTTTAAGGCCAAACTCTGTGTGTGGCTAACATGCAATCGACCTCTGGCATGAACAATTTTCTATTTTAAAAATTAGAGTATTAATAAGCATAGTCATACTAGGAAAAGAAAAGTTTTTAAAAAATGAACGTCACACAGAATTTAAATACAAACAGAGGAGTACACATGAGGAAGGGAAAGTCCTCGCTCATTCGAAATCTAGATAGCTTTCTTAAGGGTTTCTGTCTCTTGAAAAGCTTGCCTCTTGTTCTGAGACGCTACTGGCTGAAACTGCAGCGTGTGGGTGTGTCGCTTGGCAGGAGAGAAGTCTTCAGGTGATGGCGTTGCTCTTTGTTTCCACTTTGCAGTTGGCTTTAGCATCCATCGGGACAGGGTTTCTGCAGTCTGTGTTCTTTCACTGGGAAGACATTCCTGAGGAAGGGGAACTATAGGACCAGCTGAAAGGAACATGGAGACGACTAAAAAAATAACAGAACACGTCACAGAAGGTTATCACATTGACTCTTCGATACAAATAAAGGAATGCTACGATAGTTTGGGGGCCAGGCTATTTCCAACTATGAGTGAAATGCTGCATCATGAGAAAAATGGAGCTTTCTCACTGTTCACCTTGTTTGGGAATCAGTCAAGCAACAGCATTGTTCGGGAGTGTGTTGAGAGCGCCACGCTCCTCGCCCAGGGAGAAAGCGCTCGGTAAGAAAAGCTTCAGGTTTTATCCAACAGGCGACTTACTGAACTAGGACATGGAGGAAAACAACAAAAGAACACAGGACATTAAGGACACATTCAACTAAATCTAAAGACTAAATGCAAAATAAAATAAGTGTGGGTACAGCAGGGCTTGGCAATGCAGGAGCGAACAGAGAATGGTTAGGAGTCAACGCTAATTCCTTGTGTCTTTGTATTTCTAGCGCCTAGCTCAGAACGGGACACAGGGTGCCCAATAAAAGAAAGAATGAAAAGAACCACAAAAGGTAGACAGGGAGGGAGGAAGGGGAAGGCAGAGGAAGAATGAAGGAGAAGGGAGGAAGAGAGAGTGAGAAAGAAAAGAAAGACTTCTGAAATGTACAAGAGGTGAGAGGCAGAGTGTGCAGAGAAAAGAGCTTGGGTGAGAGAATATTCATCGACCTGATAAGAGCAGGCTCCCGTAATCCGAGAAGACGTTATACATTCAGAGCGGTTTGAAAAAGTGGGTGGGGCAATTTTCAGGAGGCTTTGAATGTGTTAAGGTTTAATTGGGGAAGGGTGGCATGTTAATATAACTACTGTAGGCTTTTGAAGAGGATATTAACATGATTCAAATGCATCAAGTGGAAAGGGAAATATGAAACTCGAAGATGTCAACCCAATGGAAAAAAAGAAACAAAACAAAACACCAAAGGATACTACAAGCAATTAATGAAGGCAGAAGGACTAAAGAATAGTCCTTCTGGTCTTAAAATAGAAAGGCAGGTGCTTGTCTGGGCTTCTTCTAGTTAATGTTGAAGGAAATGGGCTTAGGTCTCAGATCAAGAATTTCCTTCTCCCACTGGGTAGCTTTTTTCGTTCTTCGGCTGTTCCTCTTTTCCATCCCTGCCCTTCCTGAAAATGAACTTCAGTCTTTACTGTTTTAGCATCAAGGCAAAATATGTTAGTAAATACAGCACCTGGAGGTGGGATCAAATATAACTTTAAAGGGCAGCTGTTGGTACAAATGTCCTGAAGTTGTTCTTACACCTCTGTAAGAATCGTTTACCAAAATTCCGTGCTAGAAAAGATTTTAGAGACCAACTAATCCAACCCACTCATTTTACAGATACGGATTTTTGGGAAGAGTTGTATTAATGTTTCTTTTATTCTACAAAAGTTTTTATGAATGAAATATACTTTGCAGGTGGATTTTAAATTAACTAAAGCCTTTATTGTCAATCTCTTCATTATGTTAGCACAATGAAGATTCATAATGAATTAGGTACACCAAAAAGGATTTACTCCGAAACATTTCTCTTTCAGCACTAAACCCTTTGGATACACTGAAAATGTTGGTTCTTTTTCTAGGTACATTATACCCAGAAAATACTATACCTAGTACTATACCTAATAACTAACAGGTATAGTATACATATATTTCTGAAAAAACTTTAAAACAACCTAGTATTAAAATATTATTAATAGGTATTTTTCTGTTCTGATGAAACATGCAATGAATGATCCTGGATGAGTGACTAAATAAACATAGATTTTAGAACTGATTATTTTGTGAACACAGAATGGGAGGGTGGGGTGCTAAGGTTTTGCTACATGTGTACAATACATTTGTGAATCAACAAAAATGCTATTGTAGCAAGGAAGGACGTTTCACACAATTTTTGAGAAACTCTTTTAGGTAGCTAATAATGCAAAGCCCTTGTGTACATGATCAGATGAAAACTAAATCAATGTATTGCTTTGGTGTTGTACAGATGGAGCCCATGCATAATGTCTCTTCTACAATGTGGACCCCATCATCAAAATGAATTTTGAGGAATAAATAGTATAAATATGCAGAGCACCGTATTCTAGGTGCCTATTATGAGTCAAAGGTTTAACAAATCAGCTTTCTCTGGGACTTGTGACTACTTAATTGGAATGAGTAATATCTTGTATCATCTCAACATGAGCCTCCCTGGGAACCCTTTCTGTCTCCTGAACATATAAGCATACATTGGGACCCCTGCACTGCCTTCCTCAGGGCCCCTCTGTGATCTGATGGTGACAGTTCTCCAAATTTGCATAGGAGCTTCTACACCTACTGAGCACATAGCAAGTGCCAAGTGCCAGGCTGACCGGTCAACTCGCTGTTGCTCTGCCTGGGTTTCCCCTTCACAGCTAGATCTTCAAGGGTCCGCACCTTGGTGTGGGGGGATCTCTAGTTCAGGAGACACCGTATTGAGATACCATAAAGGAAGGTGATGTTAGTGCATAAATGACGAGAGCCAGAGTTTCAATTATTCATCACGTGCCACCCAAAGTGGAGGAAAAACAGAAAAGAAGTTGTTTTTGTTATGGTTTTGATTACTTTGATTAAATTAAAATTACTATCTCTGCCTAAAGCCATTTCCCTGGCATTTTATCTCATTATTCTAATAAAGGAAATGGATTTCCTATGAATAAGATTTACTATTCTAATATTCTCCATTACTTCAAGTTGTCCAAAGTCAAGATGAAGACTGAATCAGTAAAGAGCAGCAAATATTTTATAAATAATGTAAGTATGCACAACAATCACCCTTTTAGTGACGGTTAATTTCCAACATCTAGGTCAGATACATTCATTCTTACGTGAGAACATGGAGTTCTTTGCTTCTTTTATTAATTAACAAGGAATTTAAAAAATAAAAACTGACTTTAAAATAAAAGCTGACTTTAAAAGCATTCTACTCAGGAATCATTTCAAATAAGGAGAAATGCCCAAGGGGAAAAAAAAAATCTCAAGTAGGCAACATGTAAAGCAACACACAACTATATGCACATTAGTATAATTACACATTGCAAATTATATCGGATGTATCTAATATCTAATTTTTTGAAAGCTGATTCCACTTGAGATTTCAATAACAGCATCAACATTTTGCAGGTGGCTCCTTCTGTATAGTAACCAAAGGGAATTATTTCTCTAATGTGCTTTCAACCCTCATGTAAAAGCTGAAGCTCTTCCTTTAAAAGACCAACAAACAATGAACATTGGGAATGTTACCTTAATGGAAAAAGCAAGGGGGTAGGGTCCAAAGATAATGTTCACAAGGTTATTTATTCTGTTCCTTAGAGGATGCTTATTCGCTTCAAGAAATAAGAAACAAACTTAAACAAGAGCCTCATTAGAAAATGTGGTGAAGGCTACATACATATTCGGAGGCAATGATATGAAAAGCTTTTAGATCAATTGTTAAAATAAGTGTGCAAGCGAATGGCAGATTACACCTTGGACTGAAAACAGAGCCCTGGATTCAATTCTGCTCTGTTAAAACATATGGCTAATTTGTTCTAAAGAGGACATCAGATCAAAGTTCCATTTTGAAGAATAGGCTTTTGTCCTCATCTTTCTGTATCAATCAATCAATCAGCAAATAACCAAATATGTATTTGTGATCTTGGAGAATGGAGCATATTATTCAAGTTGATTGGATCCATTTTCTTGATTCCTCCTTAAAGATCTTTCTCCTAATTAGCCAGGGTTACTATTGAATTATTTAATTATCTGCACTTTTGTGCAATGAAATATGTTGTCATATCACATACTTTATCACGCTGTTGCTGTTCATACTTAATGATGCCTCTATAGTTAGCAGCTTCCTTTGTTCTGCTCAGTAAGTGGTTTTAGAAAAGGGGGTGGGCGGGGAAGGAGGAGCCTTGGGGTTTGTAAAATACAATCATACATTCCTGGTGCACATGCAAAACTTTGTGCATTTACATGAATTTCTTTTTCAAAATCTAGTTGCAATCCCATTTGGAATAACCTAAGAGGCACATGTCGGTGACTTCAAATGCAGCCAGAGTGATATTCCTATACCTTGAACACCTCTCCAGTGTATTTCCACTGCAGTGCAATGGTAAAATCATGATTTAATTTTTTTTTAATCAGCAAGGAATGTCTTTAACAAGGAAGAAGTAAATTATGATAATTACTCTGAATGGTTGGATCCTTGAGCATTACTAATTAGCATTTATTGCCTGGATTATAGAACAATACATGTGAAACCGAACTGCGACTGCTCTTTTGCGTCCAAGAACTGAAAGAGGCAATGGATCAAGAGGCAGTACCGTCAGTGGTTTAGTCAGTGGTTTTATATCTCCTGGAAAGTGTGCAGGATTCCTTGTTTTTGAAATATACAAATGTGGTACTCGATATTTATGGCCCATTCATTTTGTGTGTGAGGCACATATTTACATATGATATCACAGTCATGGGAGACTAATGAGAGGAGAAACATTTTGGGTATGATGTCATTTTGGGACAATTTTACCCATTGTGAGAGTTTAACAATAAAGAGCGTAAAACTCTCCATTTTATGATAGTATGAATTTTTCTATGGAAATTTTGACTTAAAAAAGGAAACAAAGAACTCAGTTTTTAGTGAAGAAAATGTTACATTCACCTCTCCACTTTCTTGAGAAAAGGCGATTGGTCTCTGGTTTAAGAGTCTTTTTTTTTCCATTAAGAATTTGTAATAAATAAGCTACTGAAGTTAGAAATACATGAGATATTAATCAATAGAACAACATCATTCCTGTAAATAAATGCTACTCATATAATTTGGCAACTGGAATTCCTAAATAACCCAGTAGGTAGGAGAGAAAGGAAAAATTAACCATTCATCATTCTTGCTGCAGACCCACCGTTTTCCTCCAAACCCCATTAAAGCGGATGAAGACGAAGAAACACATCGTAATATAAAGCCAGTACTAAATACAGTCACTAGTCTTCCCAATACCTTTATGG